CTTGCTGAAGCTCAAACGTGCTGCGTAACACGAGAATGAACCTCATTGGTTCTTGCGGAAGCTCAAACGTGCTGCGTAACACGAGAATGAACCTCATTGGTTCTTGCTGAAGCTCAAACGTGCTGCGTAACACGAGAATGAACCTCATTGGTTCTTGCTGAAGCTCAAACGTGCTGCGTAACACGAGAATGAACCTCATTGGTTCTTGCTGAAGCTCAAACGTGCTGCGTAACACGAGAATGAACCTCATTGGTTCTTGCTGAAGCTCAAACGTGCTGCGTAACACGAGAATGAACCTCATTGGTTCTTGCGGAAGCTCAAACGTGCTGCGTAACACGAGAATGAACCTCATTGGTTCTTGCGGAAGCTCAAACGTGCTGCGTAACACGAGAATGAACCTCATTGGTTCTTGCTGAAGCTCAAACGTGCTGCGTAACACGAGAATGAACCTCATTGGTTCTTGCTGAAGCTCAAACGTGCTGCGTAACACGAGAATGAACCTCATTGGTTCTTGCTGAAGCTCAAACGTGCTGCGTAACACGAGAATGAACCTCATTGGTTCTTGCTGAAGCTCAAACGTGCTGCGTAACACGAGAATGAACCTCATTGGTTCTTGCTGAAGCTCAAACGTGCTGCGAACCTCATTGGTTCTTGCAGAAGCTCAAACGTGCTGCGTAACACGAGAATGAACCTCATTGGTTCTTGCTGAAGCTCAAACGTGCTGCGTAACACGAGAATGAACCTCATTGGTTCTTGCTGAAGCTCAAACGTGCTGCGTATTGTGCGTAACACGAGAATGAACCTCATTGGTTCTTGCGGAAGCTCAAACGTGCTGCATAACACGAGAATGAACCTCATTGGTTCTTGCGGAAGCTCAAACGTGCTGCGTAACACGAGAATGAACCTCATTGGTTCTTGCTGAAGCTCAAACGTGCTGCATAACACGAGAATGAACCTCATTGGTTCTTGCTGAAGCTCAAACGTGGTGCGTAACACAAGAATGAACCTCATTGGTTCTTGCGGAAGCTCAAACGTGCTGCGTAACACGAGAATGAACCTCATTGGTTCTTGCTGAAGCTCAAACGTGCTGCGTAACACGAGAATGAACCTCATTGGTTCTTGCTGAAGCTCAAACGTGCTGCGTAACACGAGAATGAACCTCATTGGTTCTTGCTGAAGCTCAAACGTGCTGCGTAACACGAGAATGAACCTCATTGGTTCTTGCTGAAGCTCAAACGTGCTGCGTAATACGAGAATGAACCTCATTGGTTCTTGCGGAAGCTCAAACGTGCTGCGTAACACGAGAATGAACCTCATTGGTTCTTGCTGAAGCTCAAACGTGCTGCGTAACACGAGAATGAACCTCATTGGTTCTTGCTGAAGCTCAAACGTGCTGCGTAACACGAGAATGAACCTCATTGGTTCTTGCAGAAGCTCAAACGTGCTGCGTAACACAAGCATGAACCTCATTGGTTCTCGCAAGTCAAGCAAACATGCTTGAGCATCCGTTTATCACAACTGATGTGCAAGTTGATGAATGTTTATATGTGAATAAAAGCCTAAATTAAATCTGTTCATCATATAAAGCGATCGAGTCTCTTCAGAAAATTTGGACTAAACCGCTCAATTCATATGGATTAGTTTTACGAACTCAATTAACTTTTTGAAGCGTCAAAGTGGTAGTTGAGTAGCTGTCAATGGAGGGACAGAAAGCTCTCAGATTTCATCGAAACGATCTGCATCTGTGTTCTGAAGATGAACAAAGGTCTTACGGGTTTGGAACGACATGAGGGTGAGTAATTAATGACAGAATTTAAATTTTGGGGTGAATTAACCCTTTAAGCCTCGTCTATGAAACCGGGGATAGTTTTTTTTTTATTTCAAGTAACAAAAATGTTTTTATGGCTTTAGTTTTAGTTATAATAATATCAACCCTGTTTTAACCCAAACAAATAATGAATCAAGAAGAAAATCATTAAAAAATACAGTTGATACTGCTTCCTTGTACATTTGTCAATTGACAGCAATAATGATGATTATGTGTAGCTGTGTTGTCTTGCTTACGCTAATAGTCCAAATGACACTAGTATCGCTCTCGCACACTATCTCTTTTGTTTTCTCTCTCTGTCTCATTTTCTCTCTCTCTCACACACTTGCTTTTTCTGTCTGCATCTGTCAATCTCCTTCTCTCTTGCAAACGTGGCTGTTTTATTTCCGGCTGAATGATTTTCTGCCTGCGCAGCGATGAGCCTGCTGTGCTTTAAGGAACAGGAGAAGATGAGGATCAATGGAGCAGATGTAAACAGGCTGCACACAGAGGTCGTTCCTCCAAAATACTCCGAGACATGGCCCCTGAAAGTATGCGGACACTAAAGTCACCTGTAAAAATGTCACTGCATTATATGCACAAAATATCAAACCAAGGAGCATTTACTCTAAAGAAAGATTACATAAGCACACATTTCGAACTAAATATTTCACAACAGATGTTTGTTAGGCCATGTCAATTGATCAAATGCATTTAAAGGTGTAAATTGCAGGTCTCTGTACTCAGATTTACCTTGAGTTCACTAAAACCATGTCAGTGAGCATGAGTATTTTGCAGCTATAACATCGTCCTTCCCCAGTAAGAGCTTTCAACAATATAACAAGGTCTTCAATTACTGCAGTTTTAATGGTTTTCACATATCTTGAAACTGACGCCTAATTCTCAGCTGGTAAGCATGTTGCTCTTCGTTGCGGTTGAGGGTACTATTGTCGTCTAATTAGCTTAACCGCCCCCAGAGGATGCTGATTGGATGGCTAAAGTTTGCCAAGAATTTAATGGGTTTGAAGTGAAACGTGAGGGAGATGTGCCTCAACACACGAAGCCAAACATTTGACCTCCTTGTACATCAAAGTTGCTAGTTTATTTTGCACTTCACAGTGCTTTTTCAATTTAAGACTGTTGTGGGAAAACTTTGGTAACACTTTACTTAAAGCCTTTATTTACAATGCATTATAAAGGTATTCATAATGTATGTTATAATGCACTATATCTTACCATAAATAATTGTTACCAAAGTAAAAATACATTATAATATTTGCCGATTCCTTGTTGCATCTGAAATTTATTGTTTGTCATGTGTTTTAATGAATTATACTGTCTAAAGGTGTTTTCAATTTATAGATACAGTTATAATGTATTATCACTTTGGTTACAATTATTCATGAGATCATACAATGCAATATAAGGTGCATTACAAGGCATAAAATACATTCATAATGTGTTACTAAACCTTTTATATTAATTAACATTCATATACACTGCCATTCAAAAGTTTTTTTTATTATTATTTTTTTTAAAGAACTCTCTTATGCTCACCAAGGCTGCATTTATTTAATAAAAGTAAAAACAGTAAAAATAGTACAATTCAAAATAACGATTAAAATCGATTTGAATATACTTTCGGATGTAATGTATTCCTGTGATGCAAAGCTGATTTTCCAGCATCATTACAAACATTTCTGATTATTATCAATGTTGAAAACTGTCGTGCTGATACATTTCGGGATTCTTTGGTGAATAGAAAGTTCAAAAGAACAGCAATTATTTGAAACTGAAATATTTTGTAGCATTATGAATGTCTTTACTGTCAGATTTGATATTTAATGCATGCCTGGAGAGAAAAAAAATATGAATTTCTTATACTAAGCCCAAACTTTTGAATTGTGGTGTATATTTAAAACACAGATTTCCCCTCACATATTGTGCCATTTTTGTACATCTGAAAAAGTCTAAAGAGGACCATCACAAACCAAGACATCTGAAACAAACAGCTTAAAACCAGTCTAAAAGGAAATAAACTCTATTTACTGCTGATGTCCGAAAAGAAAACTTGAGTTTGCTCTGAAAAGAATAACAATGACAATATACATGAAATGCAAATGGCATCTAGTTAAGTTGCATTGTGGTGGTTATTGAATACAGCACTGAAATTCCACATGCAAACTTTCACTGTTCAGTCTTTCTAGCAACTCAAGCTGTTTCACACCTTATAATCGGGTATTTTCTGCTCCAAACAGTCCGAAATATCTGGAGTGTCCTTGAGGCTGTAAACATATGAGTCAGAGTCAAAGTGCTTTCTCTCCGTCTTCCTCTTCCCCCCCTCGGCCCATTTATCCACATCTCGCTGTATGAGTCCTCCTGCTCTCACAGAAATAACTGCTCTTCTGTGTAATTGCTGACAGGTGTCACAGCCCTGCTTCCTGTTTACCACAACACCTGAATACCTCTATGGGGACGGATGACACATTTAGTGCACGGTGAGCAAAATCAGCCCAATGTATGAAAGTTCTAGTTAACTCCGTGAGGAAGAGATGGAGAATCATGACTAATTCATTCTAAAGAAGGGCTGATAGCAAGAAAGAGAATGAAATATGTGACTTGATATGCTGCACTGTATCTGTTCCGAACCCTTTCCACGGATCAAATTGCTCATTTCAATGAATCGGTTAAAAAAAGTTCTCTCTCACGGCCCCTTACATCCCTGCCTGGCATTTTACAGGCCCTTAAACAGTCCATTAAAGAAACAGTTATTTTACAATATTACTGTTTTTTTGTTTTTTTTTCTGTATGTTTAACCAAATAAGTGCAGTCTTGGTTAGCAGAAAAGACTTCTTTCAAGAACATTACCGACCTCAAATCTTACCGACCTCAAACTTTTGAACGGTAGTGTAACAAAAAGGTTAGGAAGTTTGAATAAAATGCTACATAACATTTTTAACTGTAATCAGCTATTAAAGTAACTTCTTTTTTGCCACATCAGTCAAATCCTTTGCTCACTTAAAATCCTCTCACTATCAGCCAACTGATCCACGGCTTGTTGTGAATTCGACATGCGAATGAATGAGGGATAAAAATGTGTCTAGAAAGAGAACAATAACAATGATATTGTTTCCTGTTCATCTTTCACTATAATTGGAAGGTCGAGTCAAACGCATTGCATTATGTCTCTTACCAAAGTTTTCGTCATCTTTGCGGTCATGTAGAGCGATTCGCTCCAAGCATCTCTCCTCCTCGCGCTTGATGACACAGTTCTCAGAATGTATGGGCCACATCTGGAAGAACAAAGATAAAAAAATAAAAAAAACGTTTATAAACCAGAACAACACAAGAGCAATACCAACAAACAACAGCAGTGGAGATGATGAATTCACGCCAAAAACACAAGAATGTTTCCACTAACAATGTGCCTGCATGTACAGTAAACATATACAGAAAAATCTGTGCTGGTTTAGACTATTTACTCTGGGGGTAAATAAAAAAATAAAACAAACTTTCACATACTTTATCTTTTATAGAGGTTGTGTTATTTCTGTCTCTGCCATATAGGGTTTGATACTGAATGTCCATCTCTGTAAAAATCCAGCTAAAATAGGTCATTTTATGTGGTTTCTAGCTGGTCTAAATGGTTGTAGGTGGATCAAGCTGGTTAGAGGTTGTCCTAGACCACCAAGAACCAGCACCCCAAACCAGCTGATACATTTCAAAAGCCAGTTTAAGCTGGTATGACCTGGTTTGATATCACTGTCCAATCCACATCTAACCAAATATCTATTTGTAACCAACAAGAAGACATGGAGTAACAATGATGTTTGTGAATTGTGATATGATACCTGTTGATCAGAAAGCATAAATATAATCAGTCTAAATTGTAAAGCAATGAGTGCAGCTGAGGTTTCTTGGATAGATTTATGTTGCCAAACTCTTGTAGTATGCATATAAAACAATGATTTGTCTGTAGTTGGATGTGAATTATACAACATTTTATAATTGATGGGGGTCAATTTAAATGAGGTTGAGTTTGAAGTTTATTTGCTGGTTGTACAAGCACATCCAGTACGAGTGCATAGGATTTTTTGAGCAAAGCTCTTAGAGTCATCAGTAAAATAAATAAATAATAAATAGAGCTATTAAGGCTATACACACAATAAATAAGGACTAAAAAGTACAGTATAGACATATAATGAAAAACACACTATAAAACAGTTACTTCCATGCAAGAATATTGCACATTTTGCTAATTTAAATCTATAATAAAGTTCCAAATAAACTGATGTACTGTCCATTGATCCTAATGGGAAGCACTTGAGCAGCCAACTGTTGCCATGGTTACCTCATCCTGCAACTGAGTGAAAATACATGCTCTGAGTAACTTGTAATCTTGTGGTTACTCAAACGTCATTCTGTGAAAAATAGTGTAGCTATAGGGGTGGGCGATATGACGAAAATCTTATATCACGATATGAGTAATTTTATTTCACAATAACGACAATATATCACAATTTAGTTATTTCTCATTTAAATAAGGTTTTTATATAACAATTTTTGATACCATTGAAATTTCATAATTCTCATCACCAATTTCAATACTATAGCCTTAGTAAAAAAGAAAGAAAAAACTCTCAAGCTTACTGAAGACAAGTAAACAGTCAGTGATAAAATAAGAACAAAGAAACAAATTACAAGCAACAGGGCAAAACTACAATAGAACAAAGACTCAAATGAAATAGACCTACCTGAAAAACTTCAAGCACTGGACATAAAAATGACATACTACATGAATTGTATAATGTAATTAAACGCACCAAAAACACACTACTGTCATGTCATGTCTAGTTTTGAGTTTTGTTTCATATCCTTTATTTCTACATTTGTTCCAGGTTCTTGTCATGTGACTTCCTTGGCCTCATGTGATCCTGTTATGTACCTCCTTGGGCACTTTCAAGTTCAAAATGGTGCGGGATATCAACATAATTATGTAGTTGTTTATATTTTTAGCTTCATTGCAAGTGAATGACATTTGGTATAGAAATAAACAATGGTAATTAGGTGCTTTTCCTAAAAATGAGAAAGAAAATACAGGGTATTAAAACAGTATGAACTACAAATAAAGTCAGTATGTCTGGCTAAATAGATGTGTTTTAGTCTGAATTAGGTAAGATGTGTGCTTCCATTTCAGTTTCCAAAAATCCCTTCACTCGATTGGGATGTTCTCTTGTGTTCTGGGCGGCAAGTGCAGTAACTGTAACATCGGGCATATTTTGTAGTATTAAACACATATTTATACAGACTTCATCAGGCTCTGAAAATTCTTCACAAAGAATGGCCTTCTCAGCTGCCATAGTTGCAACTCTTGCGTCATCAGAACAGTGTGTTCAACGCATCACCGTTTCTGTTTAATAAAACGTTGTGCAACGTTTTGTCGGGGCTGAACGCAGCTCTCGTTTCATGTTATGTTCTCATTGGTTCTCATTGGTTTGATTGTGCACGTGTCCCTTGTTTGCTCTTCAGTTTCATTGTTCCCTTGTTCCCATAAATGGCGGTTAACAAGGATACTTGCAAACGCAAAGACAGGCTTTTGGACACGTAAATATGTGTATTTGACCGTTCAAGCTCATTAAGTCGCCAAAAAGACCTTATCTCAGTACTCGCGCGCTAAATGAGTTCCTTTTCGCTGCTTATTGCGCTTCAACGGGTTACAACGTGAGATTACCGTGGCCTTTTTCTCAAGAAAATCATCTGAGAAACAGGAGACTATAGCAAAATTCTTGATGTCTAAAAAAAAGATTACAATTTGTGTTTTTGTATTTGTTCTATAAGACAAAAGTATGAATGGCCACTTTTGCATTTGTATTATCTCTCATTCTAAAGGCAGAATCTCAACATTTCACATGCATGTATTTCTTGATATCCTGAGTAAAATTAATGACATGCTGAGTAAAATCTCATGTTTGAGTCAATAAATGCAGTAGATTCACAGAATCCAGATGGCTCAGTGTGGTCAGCTGAAACAAAAATGGAACCATCACTCATTGAATTATTTGTGTTTCTGGGACAGCAGACAGGATCTTTATAGATTGGAGATTTTGAGGTCTGACCCCTGCCCTGACTGCTCCAACTAAGCCTTGAATGTCCCAAAGGAAGGCAAAACTAATGGTTGGGGAGGGGGACCAAAATATATACAAAAAGTTTATTTATCTAAAATATTGAATGCCTCATGTAGTAGTGAGCGATATACTGCTTTGTCTCATATGGCGGTTACGCACTATCATTCCTTGTTGTTTATATCGCTAAATATATCATACTCATTAACCAGATATCTGATATTATCTCATTTTGTCGGTCACATTGATCTGACTTCGCTAGCTTTAATCTAAATCACTATCGCTCGCAAAACGCGCTAGCCTTCCGCTAGCCTGTTAATCTGCCATCCGTGTTTGCCGTCTTTTTTCTCTCGCGTGCTCGCGCCTTTTCGAGTCCATCAAACAACTGTGGTGAGTAGGATCAGTCAACAAACACGGTGAGTCATGTCTTCTCCTGTTATTGTCCCTTGCACTCCATGTCACATGCATAGTATAGCCTTCTCTGTCAGCGCCGAGGGCTTTACATGTGATAAATGCAGGGAGGCTGACGGAGAAGATTTCAGAACTAGAGACACGCATCCAAACTTTAATCGAGGATAGTAAGAATGCAAGGGCCTTAGATACTGCGTTGGATGCGACTAGCTTAGTGAACTCTGTACATTGTTCGATTCCGGCTGTAGAGCCCGTGCAGCAGGGCAACTGGGTGACCGTGAGACGCTGTAGTCGCGGGACAAAACACTGCTCTTCCTTTCCGATAACAACATTAAACAGGTTCTCCCCACTCAGTGAAACACCCACTGTGAATCCTGCTGAATGTGCCCTAGTTATTGGCGATTCTATTACACGGAACGTGAAAATAGAGACACCAGCCACCATCGTCACATGTTTGCCGGGAGCCAAAGCACCTGACCTGACCTGTTGAAAAGAGATGGTATTCATCCCTCCTGGGATGGTGCTGCTCTTCTCTCTAGTAATATGGCGCATAGTCTTAGAGCTCAAACATGACAATCTGGGGCTCAGGTCAGGAAGCAGACAGACTGGCTAAACTGACCGTCTGCTAGCTGTCTCACATCACTGAGGTCAGATAAATCCCATCACATAGAGACTCTTTCACCTAGATATCATCACATAGTGTCTGTTCCCCAAACTAGGAAATACAAAAAGCAAAAAACTTCCAAACCCATTTAAAGGTAAAAATTTGATTGATGTTCAACAAATAAAAAACAAATACAATGCAGATGAACAAATGATAAAGCTCGGGTTTCTGAATATTCAATCCCTTACTTCAAAAGCACTTATTGTTAATGATATGATTACAGATTATAACCTAGATGTGCTGTGTTTGACAGAAACCTGGCTAAAACCAGACAATTACATTACTTTAAATGAGTCCACCCCGCAAGATTACTGCTATAAACACAAGGCTCATTTAAAAGGAAAAGGAGGTGGTGTTGCTGTTATAGCAATATCTTCAGTATTACTCCGAAGTCTAGTTTCAAATATAATTATTTTGAAGTGATGGTGCTTTCTGTAACGTTATCTAGCGTATGTGATAAATCCCGTTTGAGAATTCTGCTAGCTACTGTATACAGGCCACCAGGGCACCATACAGATTTTATCAAGGAATTTGCTGATTTTCTATCGGAGTTAGTACTGGCTGCAGATAAAGTTCTAATGGTTGGTGATTTTAATATCCATGTAGATAATGAAAAAGACGCATTGGCATAAGCATTTACAGACATTCTAAACTCTATTGGAGCTAGACAACACCTGTCAGGACCTACTCATTCTCATAATCATACTCTAGATCTAATATTGTCACATGGAGTCAATGTTGATGCCGTTGAAATTCTGCAGTATGCGATGACATCTCAGATCATTATTTAATCTCATGTATACTTAAAGGGTTAGTTCACCCAAAAATGAAAATTCTGTCAGTATTTACTCACCCTCATGTTGTTCCAACCCCGTAAGACTTTCGTTCATCTTCGGAACACGAATTAAGATATTTTTGATGAAATCTGAGAGCTGGATCACTCCTCCATAGGCTTCTTCAGGGATTGAACTTGCCGGCCTCGAAAAGTTATTAAAGACATCGTTAAAATAGTCCAAGTGACTACAGTGGCTCAATCTTAAGTTTATCAAGCGACGAGAATACTTTTTGTGCGCAAAAACAAACAAAAATAACGACTTTATTTCAACTATTCATGTCCTTCTCTTTGGGCCTCTACTCAGTTAACGTAGTGTGATTCCGTAGAGCTACGTCACACGTAGGCTCACTATTGGCCGACGCTGGTCATGTGCGTGATGCGTGTGACGTACAACAACAGAAGCTTAGGCTATTAAACTAGTGAACTGACTCGAGGCCCACAGAGAAGGAAATGAATAGTTGAAATAAAGTCGTTATTTTGGGGGGGTTTTTGCGCACAAAAAGTATTCTCGTCGCTTGATAAACTTAAGGTTGAGCCACTGTAGTCACTTGGACTATTTTAACGATGTCTTTAATAACTTTTCGAGGCCGGCAAGTTCAATCCCTGAAGAAGCCTATGGACTAGTATGGAGGAGTGATCCAGCTCTCAGATTTCATCAAAAATATCTTAATTCGTGTTCCGAAGATGAACGAAAGTCTTACGGGGTTGGAACAACATGAGTGTGAGTAAATACTGACAGAATTTTCATTTTTGGGTGAACTAACCCTTTAATTTAGCCAAGGTTGCAAAGCCGACTCTGTGTTATAAATATGTTAGAACTATCACTTCTGCCACTAAAGATTGCTTTATAAATAATCTTCCTGATCAGTTTCATTTCGTCAGCATCCCAGATAGCTTAGAAGAACTCGATGTTGCAACAGAAATGATTGATTCTCTCTTTTCCAGCACTTTAGACACAGTTGCTCCATTGCGCTTAAAGAAGATTAAAGGAAATAGTCCAACACCGTGGTACAACGAGCACACTCGGGCCCTTAAGAGAGCAGCCAGAAAAATGTAGCGTAGCTGAAAGAAAACAAAAAGAATTTTCGCATTTCGTGGAGAGAGAGCACGATTGCGTACAGAAAGGCCTTAAAAACTGCTAGATCTGCTTATTTTTCAAACACATTTCGAAGAAAACAAACACAACCCTAGGTATTTATTCGAAACAGTGGCTAAATTAACGAACAATAAAGCTCCAACACCGGACGTTTCCAAACAGCACAGCAGTAATGACTTTATGAACTTATTTACTTACAAGATGTACTCATTACATCATAAGAAAAATGGCATCTACGCTACTGCTAGTCTTTCTGTTTTCCGAGGTTTACTGAAGTCAGCCGGATCCGGGCCGTATCCAGATCAGATGGTGGACCTGCGCTCCCCTGGACCCATCCACAACGCATCCCTGAAGTGCCAGCCTCATCAGGCCTGTGAAGGCCTCATCGTCATCGACTCGACAGCCATCGGCACTGATCCTCAACAAACTCGTCTCCATACCGGCGTGATGACTCCGACTTCCAACCAGATGGAACCGGATAAATATTCTGAATGTTCTGATCCAATCTGACTTCTGACCTATAACGCTGCCAGAATCATAATCATACACTGTTCGCTCGTTGGCCAGAGGAGAACTGGCCCCCGACTGAGCCTGGCTTCTCCCAAGGTTTGTTTTCTCCATTCTGTCACTGATGGAGTTTTGGTTCCTTGCCACTGTCGCCTTGGCTTTTGGCTTGCTTAGTTGGGGACATTTAATATTCAACAATATTATTGATCTGCCTTACTTAAGGTGGACGAAGACGCAATTTTCTTCTAGAAACAAACGTTGTGGTATTATTTTCATGTTATCACTGTGAAGCTGCTTTGATACAATCTGTATTGTAAAAAGCGCTATATGAATAAAGGTGACTTGACCTGACTCGACTCATGTGACGTTGCCGTGCTGCGCCGTCATGGAAGCTTATCATTTACAGTTAAAAAACAGGTGATTTTCCATCATTAAAACATCTTTTTATCTTTATTTTGATTTAAAAAGACCATTATAGATGACAGATTAAAGATAAGAGGCTCTTGTCACACTGTATGGAAATTACAGAGAACTAACAGAACATTTTTCACAGAACTGTAGCTGTACAGTAGGTATCTTCAAAACCACAGGATGTGCTTTTCTACCTTTTTTGTTTTAAATCAATGCTTGTGTGGTTTGCCAGGTCATCATTTCACTGTGCTGTTTCTAAGGTGGTTGGTTTAAATGTGGTTGCCAGGGTTATTAAAATAAAATAAAAACTATAATAGTATATAAAAATACTAAAATACTAAAATAACACTGGTTGCAAGGGTGTTCTGAGTGGTTGCTAGGACATAGGGTGCATTAGTTCCCACCAACTTTGTTCAGCGATGATGTTAAAAAAAGTCTTTGTTAAAGCGTAATAAGGCATCAAACAGGCCAAGCAGCCACGATGTAAATCATAACATTACAAACTTTGATTTGAAGCAAAAAAGTATTTGAAAATCAGACAAAAATGCATAGGTACAAGACTTTGTACTACAATCTACAAAGAACTACAATCCCACGAAGCATTGAGAACAGCGTAATTAAAAACGATGGAGAAATATAAAACTACTCATATAAAAATGATAATATATATAAAAAAACTATATTTTAAAATTACTGCACATATATGCATATATATTTAAATATTTAAGTTTTTTGAGAGTGTAGGACAGGTAGATTAACGCAATTACATAATTTGCAGTGCTTGGCAGTGGGCAGAGCTAAAGAGATATTTTGGTGTGTCTTGCTTGTTTCAACCCTCTGATTGGTTGAATCTTCTGTACAGCATCAAGGGTAAAGGTTTTTTTTTTTTTTTACCATGAATTCCACCGTTAAACATGATCATTTTAAAACAATGTGGGCCAAAGGCTTCAACAAAAGCAAATACTATTGATTAAGAACCTTGTAGGTCACAGTAAGGCTGTCTATAAAAGCTTATGATTGTTAAAAATCAATTTCCCTATGGGAAGTTTTTACTTCTGGAACCCGACTGTTGCTCTCTATTGGACGCTGGTTTCTGTGGTTTTCTGGATGCTTGCTTGCATTAAGTCTCTATGATATTTTAGTCTCTAAATAGCAGGCAAAATCATAATTTCCGATGTTTGGAATGTAAGGGTTGGGGTTTGCTAAAAAAAACCCACTAACTTCCAATGAGAAACCATAATAGTGATTCTTGCCATTTCAAACTTCACTAATCGTCACATTTGTAAAATATAATCATGTGAATCCATGAGAATACAGGCCCAAAGAACACATAAATACATGATCATCTCTGCTCTTACCAGGGTGATGATGAGGAAGAGGACGAGGAAGGATGCTCTTGCCGTGTGTCTATGCATTCTGTTCACGATTGTTCCCGGAGATCTCACGTACAGCATTATAAAGCCTAAAAGAGAAGGTACATTGTTTTAAAATACACACACACACAGAGAGAGAGAGAGAGAGAGAGAGAGAGAGAGAGAGAGAGAGAGAGAGAGAGAGAGAGAGAGAGAGAGAGAGAGAGAGAGAGAGAGAGAGAGAGAGAGAGCTGCTTGCTTCAGTACTATTGGCTACATCATAACATACTGCACCAGAGTAGCTGATGTTCAGTCTGGACCTACAACAACACAACCAACCCATCACTGAATCACCTACATTCTTTATTATAACCCCATCTCAAATAATCAAATCTCTGATCACTGAAGTGCGCAGGACCGATGGGGAGGGAGGGGTTTATGTCGACCAGATTTACTGATCCACAGCGAATCTAAGGAGGTATAAAAACCCTTAAGACGAGACCTGTGCGAGGATAGTGAGCGGTCTCCGAGCCCCCGGTGTCTTACTCATCTTTATTAGTTCCCCCCAAAAAATGAATAAACGGATGAATCATAGCGAATAAAACACACAGAACGACCTCAGATTCAATTACATGCAGCCGAAGAACTCCGTTCTTGCATGATCAGAAAAACAAGAATTCTGACACCAGTGATTTAAGAGTAAAAGAATCTGATTTCACACTGAACCTCTGAAGGTTTGTTCTGGTTGAATGGGAATGCTTTACATTCACTGAGCTCTCCTATTGTAGAAAATGTACATCTTTTGCTTGCAAGTACACTCTTTATATGCTATTTTTGTAACCCTATGGGGCGCAAACAGGCACTTCAAGGAGAGAAACACAGTGTCAATCAAACAAGGTTTTTTTTATATATATATATATGGATGCAAAACACACTGAGGCTCTGATAACCATCATAATGAGAAGCACAGGGCTGAACACGGCTCTGTTTTGAATGGGCTCTGTGTCTTGAAGCAAAGGCAAAACAGCATCTGGCAATAATAACCACGGTCATTTAACATTGTATGTTCTTGTATATTGGTATAAAGCTAATGCTATGTGATCTACTGTATTGCTGTAGCCTATTAATGGTGAGGCATCTTTTCCACTACACAAAAAGACACACTGTAACACACAGAGAAAAGCATCACATTTTCAGCACCAAACCAACACTTGCTTCATATGTTCTTCATATGGTACTTCATATGGTTCATAATGCCAAACCTTTACAAGGTCAAATGTGTGTAAGGATGCTGAATAAAATAGAGGTCAATAGATGCACTTTTTGAAAATTTAAATTCGTTCTGAGGCAATCATTTGAAAGGGAGTATACAGTGTTTTGCATGGATGTGAAGGCAGCATTAAAGTGTGCTGTGACTCACTGCATGCCTTCATATTCACTGCAGAAATCTGGATTGATTTACTGATGATGATGATGTGAGGCGTTAGAAAGAGACAAACAGACCTAATGCATAAGAGAATCCATCAGAATTGTTGGCTTTACACTGGTGCTTTGCTTTAAATGACACTGGCAACATTTCTCTGGCTAAGACACACATGAATTTGGTCCATGAGGTGCATATCAGTGTATTGCAGTTTAGATCATATTTCACCCCAAAAGAAAAAAAATGCTATTGAATATGTTTATCACACTTTAAGATATTTGAATTATGTTCATTACAATATAACACATTTTTTCCTCCCTTTGTTGTCAGTGTTAGCCTCAAGAGGTTTTACTTCTGAGTTCGACTGTAATTCTCATTATTCTTAATGATGGTTCTCATTAGATTCTCATTACTGTAGAGTAATGAAATCATCCTGTTTGGACAGTTTTTTTATTTAGATCAGTAGGCTATACGTTAAAGGTATAGCACAACAAATAGAGCCTCGATGTATCAATTTGTATCTATCAATTTACTGTTTAAATAATATATAAATAGTTTCTGCATTACAGTCAACTAAAAAAATATGAATTGTCATTAAAATAAAAGTCACATTTGGAGATAAAAACACTAATATAATTTCGTTATTATCTTAATTTAAGTGCGATGTGAAATGTAAAATGTTCTGGACAAGCTTCGTGAGATTAACCCATTACGTTATAGTTTATAAAAAACGCTCATGCTGAGCAACGATTTACGTCAAACATGTTTGGGATGCATTGAAATGCATCATTTTAAAGTGATGATGTTCATGAATCGGTGCATTATAACCCAGAAATCATCTTTAAATTACATAACTGTACATATATCAAACAAAGCAAAGCCCAATGATCTCTGCGGTCCCTGAATATTCAATTATCGTTTATTCATGATTAATCCGTCTATAGAAAACACGCGTGAACCGAATAAGAAGTATGTCGTTGATAATCGTGTTATTGTGAACGGAGGTCGAACACATTCAATGTATCGCTGTAGTGCTAGACTGCGATCAATGACTGAAGAAACGCGAAGAAGCGCAAACTCACCATCACAGAATGGCACGCGATATAATCCTCCTTCTTCTTTATAACGGCTGCAAATGGACGGTTCGCTTCGTACACCTGCGATTTCAACTTTGTCATCCGCGTCTCACATCGACAGACTGGAGTAATGAAGGTCTGTAGAGCACTAGAGGAGCGTGAGACTGAAGAGAGCTCGTGTGTGTGTGTGTGTGTGTGTGTGTGTGTACTCGGTGATTCCCTCACTGCTGACAATCACCTGCACTGAGAAAAACCATCACTTCTTAAACCATCACACACTAGTATCCATAATCACGGAACCATCATTCACCAACAGTCAACGTCACAATCTTTATTTTGGCATTATGCATTCAATGCATTTTCTTGTCTTTGTTTTGTGAATTTCTAATTGTGGTTTATAATCCATCAACTAGTGAATAATCCTACCACTGACTAGTCATAATCACTAAGATTGCTTTCCAAGACTGAACATCAATATAATCCACTAACTAGTGAACAATCATTGTTTAACATTGCTAATATCGCTCTCCAACACTGAACATCATTTTGATAAATAAGCCATCACTCACCATATACCATCATTCACCAACAGTGAATCAAGGTTTTTAGTGATCGTGATCATTCATACCATTATTCATCATCACTAATATTGCTTTCCGATATTGAACATCATTTATATACCGTAAATAAGCCATCACTCACTTTTATTCATCATTATTCAACATCACTGAACCATCATTCACCAAGAGTGAATGCTTCACAATTATTCACTAACCTGCATGATGTATTCAATGTATTTTCTTGTATTTTTCTTTATAATTGTGGTTTATAACCCATTAATTAAACAACCATTATTCATAATCACTTATAATGTTCTCAAACACTGACCATAATTTATATAAATGAACCATCACTCACCATCATTCAATAGTATCACACACAATTTTTACACTAATTGGCTTTATGCATTTTCTTTTTTCCCTGTGTTTTGTCCATTTCTATAGTTCTAGTCATGCTTATAATCCATTAGTGATCGATCCAACCAGCCTTCATCATCACTAATATTGCTCTCCAACACTGAACATCACATTAATAAACAATCACTCATCGTTATTAATTATTAATCACCAACAGTGACAGTGACCACTTCACCAATCATGCACATTCAATGCAGTTTCATTGAAGACTGTTTTTATGTGGTTCATAATCCATTAACAAGTGAACAACCCAACAATTGCTTATCATCACTAATATTCCTCTCCAACACTGAACTTTATTATTAAACAATCCTTCACATTTTTTCACCAAAATGTCTTTCTTTGAAGGCTGTTTTGCAAGTTTCTAATTGTGGTTTGCACTCCTTAACTAGTGATCAGTCCTACCATTATTCATCATTATTTGCCATCACTAATATCACTGTCCAACACTGAAAATCACTCATATTGATAAATCCTATACATTCCCCATCACTGAACCATCTATAACCAGCACTAACATTATTAACCAATCAGTAAACACTGGTCAAAACTAACCATCACATAAACTCACACACCATTATTCATCACTATGATTCATCATCATTGAAGGTCCAATACAGTACCATCACTCGCCATTACACACAATCTGTGAACCGTCATTCAACACAGATGATTGATGCCTCAGTGGAAGTAAAAATCATTTTATACTGTCTTGTGACAAGTTAAAATTAGTTTGCACAGTTCAGTGTGAGAACACTGTAAATGTAACTAGAATAGTCTGTTTGTATGCTTTCATACCAAAACACGGGTCTACTGTACATAATTCGTTTACAGTGCATGTTTTCTGGTGTGTGTTTCTGTGAGGTCTAGTTATAGAAGAGTTGAGGTTACTTTTGGAAAAGGTTGATGTATGAGCTGGAGTTTGTTCCACCATTGAGGCCAAGAATAAAGAAGCTGTACAATGTGGACAAGCAGGAATCCATCATGTGGAGAGAAGCGGTGCAGATCGCAGCGGTCCGGCTGGGCTTCACCGTCTCTGATCAGTCATAAGAGAGTGTTGTCTTCTTTAACTTCTGTCTAGCTGTGCTGTTGTCTCTCACTCTGGAAAAAAACATTCAGCATTGAAAAGTTTGAGTTTTTTTTTTTTTTTTAAGAAATTAATACTTTATTCAGTGATGATGCATTCAACTGATCAACAGTGGCATAAAGACATTTGCAATGTTATAAACTATACTGAATACTGTATAAACTAAAGCACTTAAAGCGGCAAGAACAAAGTACTACTCGTCCATTAGTGATGGTGCTGCAAACCGCAAAAAGATTTTTAAGACTTAAGACTTTCAATAATATTCTTACACCAATTAAGCCATCACTTTGTTCCTCTATGCAGGGGTGTAACACGTTTCTTAATTTTGTAAGACTAGAGAAACTGGAAGAACTGGAAGAGAGGGCTACTCTCTGAGAAAACAAAGGAAATTAACATTTGAACTCTATTGCTATATTACCAAATGTGGATGCACCATTTTTTTTTATTGAATAGTTCCAAGACAGAGGTTCTACTCATTGGCAAACCAGCAGCTATTCTAAAGGGAACCATTTTAATTTGATTATGGATGATAGTGTCGTATTGCAATCTACTCCAGATATAACCTTGGTGGGATTTTTGACACTCATCTGACATTAGACTCACATATTAAATCTCCTTTCCATCATCAGAAACATTTCTAGAAATAGGCCTTATCTCACACTGCCTGATGCTGAGGCTTATTCACGCATTTGTTACTTCCAGGATTGATTATTGTAATATACTATTAGTTGGTTGACCTGCTAAATCAATCAAATGGCTGCAGTATATCCAGAATTCAGCTGCACGTTTTCTTACACACCATCACATCAGTACATCACAGGCGTGCTTTATTATAATTTGCATTGGCTTCCTCTTCAGTCGCGTATCATTTTTAAAACTCTTACACTAACATACAAAGCTACAGTATGCATGGAATAGCCCCTTCTTATACTGTACAGTATCTGTAACTAAGTTTAAATTGTGACTAAGTTTATAAATAATAAACAAACTACAGCTGGTCCAAAACGCAGCAGCTAGAGTTCTTACCAGAACCAGGAAGTATGACCATATTAGCCCGGTTCTGTCAACAGTGCATTGGCTCCCTATTAAACATTGTATACATTTTTAAATATTGCTGATTACTTACAAAGTACTAAATGGTTTAGCTCCCCAGTACTTGAGCGAGCTCTTAACGGATTATAGTCCTTCACGTTTACTGCAATCTCAAACTTCTGGCCAGTTGATAATACCTGGAATATCAAAATCGACTGCTGGCGGTAGATCCTTTTCCTGTTTAGCACCAAAACTCTGGAACAGTCTTCCTAACATTGTCCGGGAAGCAGACACACTCTGTCAGTTTAAATCTAGACTAAAAACTTGACACTATCGACCACAACATTCTTTTAAATAGACTCGAAAATTTTAGTGGAATTGCACTAGCATGGTTTAAATCATACTTATCTGACCGTTATCAGTTTGTAGCAGTAAATGAAGAAATGTCTTATCGATCACAAGTTCAGTATGGCGTACCACAAGGCTCAGTACTAGGACCGTTGCTGTTCACTCTGTACATGCTACCCTTAGGAGATATCATTAGGAAGCATGGCATTAGTATTCACTGTTATGCTGATTATACTCGGCTCTATATTTCTTCACGCCCTGATGAAATTTACCAATTCACAAAATTAATGGAATGCATAGCAGATATAAAAAACGGGATGACTAGCAATTTCCTACTACTTAATTCTGAAAAATCAGAGATTCTAATTATTGGACAAAAAACCTCCTCACGTACTAACCTAGAATACTGTCTAACACTTGATAGCTGCTCTGTTAAGTCTTTTGTCGTCAGTTAGGAACCTGGGTGTGCTCTTTGATACCAATCTTTCATTTGAAAGTCACGTGTCTATCTGTAAAACCGCATTTTTTCATCTTAAAAATATATCTAAACTACGTCATATGCTCTCAATGAAAAATGCAGAACAATTAGTTCATGCATTCATGACATCAAGGCTAGATTATTGTAATGCTATTATGGGTGGTTGCCCTGCATGTAAACAAACTACAGCTGGTCCAAAACACAGCACCTAGAGGTCTTACCAGAACCAGGAAGTATGACCATATTAGCCCGGTTCTGTCAACACTGCATTGGCTCCCTATTAAACATTGTATACATTTTAAAATATTACTTACAAAGCAATAAATGGTTTAGCTCCCCAGTACTTGAGCGAGCTCTTAACACATTACAGTCCTTCACGTCTATTGCGATCTCAAAATTCCGGCCAGTTGATAAGACCTTTAATATCAAAATCGACTGCTGGCGGTAAATCCTTTTCCTATTTAGCACCAAAACTTTGGAACAATCTTTCTAACATTGCCCGGGAAGCAGACACACTCTGTCAGTTCAAGTCTAGATTAAAAACACATCTCTTTGGCCTAGCATACACATAACAAATTATAGACTTCAATAATTCAATGTTAGGCTGACAAGGCTGTATAGTTTAGATCAGAACACTTCCCATAAATCCTGCGTACTTGGTACATCAGAAGAAGGATGGCATCTACGCTAATGTTAGTCTCTCTGTTTATCCCGAGGTCCGCCGGATCCAGGCCGTATCCAGATCTGAGGAAGGACCAGCGCCTGGACACGACGCCAACGCAGTCCTGAAGTGTCAACTCTCTACCCTAGGTTTACTGAAATCAGCCGGATCCGGGCCGTATCCAGATCAGATGGTGGACCTGCGCCTGGACCCATCCACAACGCATCCCTGAAGTGCCAGCCTCATCAGGCCTGTGAAGGCCTCATCGACTCGACAGCCATCGGCACTGATCCTCAACAAACTCGTCTCCATACCGGCGTGATGACTCCGACTTCCAACCAGATGGAACCGGATAAATATTCTGATCCAATCTGACTTCTGACCTGTAATGCTGCCTGAATCATAATCATACACAGATCGCTCGTTGGCCAGAGGAGAACTGGCCCACGACTGAGCCTGGTTTCAAGGTTTTTTTTCACCATTCTGTCACCTGATGGAGTTTTGGTTCCTTGCCACTGTTGCCTTGGCTTTTGGCTGCTTAGTTGGGGACATTTAATTTAATATTCAACAATATTATTGATCTGCCTTAAGGTGGACGATGACGCAATATTCTTCTGGAAACAAACTTTT